AGCCCAGGGGACTGGTCCGCGGGGGCTGTTCACCAGCCCCTCCCAGTGCATTCTCAGGCCACGGAAAGGTGGGGTGCTGGGAGGGCAGGGGCCGCGGGCAGCCGTGGACGGCCAGAGGCATTTTCCCTTTATGGGTGCGTCTGCCCTGCACACCTGTGGCGTTCATTCTGGGGACGGAGCACATCCCTGAGCATCTCCTTCCTCCTGCTGTCCCTTCCCCGTCCCCTCCCAAACCTCTCTCTGTCTCAGAAAGTCTGTTTTATTTTTTCCTACCAACTCTGCTTCATTTTGCTAATTTCTGGGGTTATCACGTAAGAGGAACTGATGATGCTCATATCGTTATGGTCCCAAGTTCCGTCCTTCCTGCGGAGGACGCGATTTCATTCGCTACGGCCGAGTAGTGCTTCTGTCCAGCATATCCAGTGTTCTTGAGCCCATGTGGTTTGCAGGTGGGACAGGCAGGGCTCCCTTGGAAAAGTCCTTGCTGTGCTGACCTGAGCATCTGCCCCAAGCTGGCCTGCTGCAATGGGCAGAGCCGGGTCACCAGATGGCACGGCCTGGGGTGCCCTGCGCCTTCCTCCACAGTCCTCGAGGCCAGAAGTTTGGCTCCCTTCAGATGCCGTAGAGGCTTCGGGCATGAGGCCCTGTTGGATTTGCCTGTCCGTGTGCCTTCCTGCTTCCTGCTGTTTAAAATGAGAAGCCCTTCCCCGGGCATCCGTCTGTTGTCTTGAGGCTTGAACCTCACAACCTGAAGCCACGGCTCAAGCCCAGGGTGGGTGGTGTGCACCGGGCTGGAATCTCGGCAGCTGCCAGGTCTGTGAGGCTGGCAGACGCCGCCGCCATGACCGATGGACGTGGTTGCCCTCCCACCCCACGCTTGCCCCTCCCCCATCGCTTATCAGGAGGGTGCGCTGGACTTGAAGGTGCTGTGGAGGAACTGGAGGGGCCTCAGCTTCTCGTAGCCAGGGGTGCACTGTGGGGAGGGGACCCAGGCAGGGGCGGGTCAGTGGCTCAGTGCATCATCGGCCGCATGCCCTTCCCATGCCTGGGGCACAAGAATGGCCTTCACTGAGTGCTTGCCGTCCGTGCAGGCTTTGCCCTGAGCATGTAGTGTGTCTGGGGCAGCCAGTCTTCCCAGCAGTGCTAAGAAGTTTGTACCAGTTTTACAGGTGACTGAAGTGAGAGACACAGAGGGCGAGCAGCTCCCTGAGTCCCTGGGCCAGGAGGAGGCAAAGCCGGTAAGCCTGCCGGGGAGTGTCTGGTCCCCAGATACAGACTTTGCCTCACTCAGGCTGGGCACGAGTCCTGGCAGGGAAATGGGCGGTGCAGAACATACATGCACACGGTCTGAAATTGTCACTGGGCAGGCGTGGCCAGGCACTGTGAGAGGCAGAAAACAGGCAGCTCTGGGTGCAACTTGAGCTTCCCTCTCAGCTAGGAGATAGGAGACAGGGAGGCAGAGTGTGTGTGTGTGTGTGTGTGTGTGTGTGTGTGCGCACTTGTGCATGCATACACGGTTGTGCCTGGTGGGCATTGGAGGAGCTCAGGGGTAGAGTGAGGGAGGCACAGGCCTTTCAGGGAGGCCTTTTGGTACCCCACGGCTTTTATACCATCTGCCTTGGGGGGTCGGATCTTGAAACGGTTGTCACTTCTTTGGTCTTTGTTCAAAGGATGTTTATGTCAAAGCTCCATGTGTGAAGCAGGCACCAGCAGAGTG